GATTTAACTCTATTTAATTGATGTTTTGGGAGATCAACATGTATATGTACATATGTATAATTATATTGTATAGCCATACATCATCAAGTTTGTTTTAAACAGATGCTGAACATAGCAGTAACAATATGGATAATAGCAGCTAGGTTTTCATCTTGTTTCGGTAAGTGTATAGAAATATTTTTTAAAAATTTAACATATGGAAGGCGAGGAGTAACAGACAGACGGACGAACGGACATCCCGATTACTATAAACCATCCCGTTTTTCAAGCGGAGGGGGGGTGTAAATAAACTTGAAAAATGTAAACAACACTTGTATGGTATTTGAGTAAATGTGATGGCCGAAAGTATGAATATTATTGATTGATTGTACGTTGTTTAACGTTTCACTCAAGAATTTTTCACTCATATGAAGACGGTGAAGGGCTATTTAGAAAATTTAGACCTATACTCGGCACTCAGGGCCATTGAGCAGTGAGGGTTCTTTATTGTGCCTACCCTGACATGGGACCTACGTTTCTAAGGTCATATCTGAAAGACCCATAACTTTCACTTCTGTTTCCGTCTTAGGTTTGACGCGGCGCCGTAATCGAGAATCGCCTCCCGATCACGAAGCGAACGCTCTACCACTTACATCGCATTACATCCTGCTTTCAAATGTATCAAACAAAGCAAATCACACAAAGCAAATATATATTTTAGCATACAAACGAATAAAATTAAGTCCTGAAGAATGATTTGAATGATAAACAAGAGGTACTGTGAACAATGAGCTCAATACATGATACCCCTACCTCCCATAAGAATATAACGGCAGTGTTCCTGTTTTGCTCTTTGTGACCCGAAATAAGTGTCAGATCAAAAGTAAAATAAGAAGTATACAATGGCATTATGTAATGAAGAATTTGTGAAAGTATCATTAAATTGTATTTAGTGGTATAGGAGGTGTTCCGGATAAGAGATGGGTACCCTTCAATACTAATGAAAAATGGCAATGTCAATGTTTTGCCCTGGAAAACCCAAAATATGTGTCCGATCAAAAAGTAAAATGGGAGGTGCACAATGGCACTATATAACAAAGAATCTGTGCACAGGTCTCATTAAATTTCATTCAGTGGTAAAGGAGGAGTTGCGGATAAGAGATAGGCACTCCAAGGCGTAACAGACGGACATCCCGATTACTATATATACCCTCCCGCTTTTCAAGCGGGGGGTATAATCATTACTTTAAAGCAATAGCAGCAACTTTTTGTATCAAAAATTCATATTTATCAATGTAATCTGGTTCTTGCATCTGAATCCACCTGTTGATTTTGATCTAGTGAACGTTACATTCTTTTGAAAAGTCTATTTAAATGAGTGTACATACTAGTATATGCACATGTATATAAAGGTCATTGTATTGGATTTATATTATACTTTCTTCTACTTAGAAGCGTTATACATGTATGTGTATACGAGGGGTGATCAAAAAGTTCGCGAACTAATTGAATAACTTTCAAAAAAGAAATGATATAGGGTTTCAGTGTTGAAAATGTTTCAACGTAGTCCTCTCCGATTTTAATGCACATCTGCAACCATTCTGCCCATGCGCGGATCACGTGATATTGGCGGTCACGTGACATGCTCCTTAGCGTTCTGTCACAGAAGCTTTAAATTTTTTCAGACTCTTATATTTCTTACCATGCAGGTTATTTTTTCCAACAAAAACAGTCCATTTGTCAGAAATTGCCTTATTCTCAACGATAGTATGGGTGGATAATGATATCTTTTTTGCAGAATGAGCATAGTAACCATCAAAAACCAAGTCTTCTGTTTTTTGAACGTCGTTTATTTCATGTGGATAAAGTATGGGTGCCTTCATTTTATCATATTTGATATGTTTAAAGTCTAAAGTAAACGATATTTTAGGGATTTGATAATTATATTATTGTTAAGATACTCATCTATTTCTCTATCTGTAAGTTGGCGATCTTCCTTATCAAATCGCTTAACAAAGGACACGTCTCTCTTCCAGTTTACATTTACTGGGCAACAGAACAAACATCATTTTCAAACATCCCCCTTCCTTTACTTAAACAATCAGTCCAATTAATGACAATACTTCTGGAAAGCCGTTTATCTCCATAAACCATATACAAATTATTACAAACTTCTACAAAGGAATTTCCAAGATATACGTTTTACTTTACACCGACTGAGTCAACCATTTTTTGTCACAAGTGATCTACCTTATGACGTCATTTTCACATTGTGACGTCACAAACACGGGAAAAAACGTTCCATTACATATGCTATTTATAGAACATGTGTATGACTTTATGTGTGCCAAATTTCATTCTGATCTGAATTGTGGTTTTGTAAATATAGAAGTATTTCGCGAACTTTTTGATCACCCCTCGTATATTCAAGATATGGCAAACAATCTAAATTGAAAATGCCGAAATTCCCGGGGAAAAAAGGAATCGGAATTTCCTGGTAATATGCAAATCTAAACAAATTGTGTCCTAAATATCTGCAAATTTTGACAAAATTCTGTGCAACGGTTTATGAGGAGTTGCGCTGACAAAAAACGAGACTGACACACTGACGGTCGGGTCAAAAACATTATATCTCCCGCAACTTGTGTGGGGTATAAAAACATTGAACTCTTATATCTGGTGCAAAGGTTAATCATAACCTGAGGGAATACCATGACCCTGAACCATGGTCACTTGACTAAGGTCTTCTTATATCATCTTTAACATGGATTTTATCCAAAAATGGTCCCATAAGGGTAATAGTCCTTCTAGGACAGCGGTAGTTGTGTTGGTTTTTTTCAGTTTTGAAGTACATGTACATGTATATAGACTTACGCAATTAATAAGTATGATAAACGTATATGATCTTGCAGTTTCATGCATTAATACCATTTTGTGATGATCTTGACCATTGAATGTCCTTCGAAAATTATGCAGGTCTGCAATATACTTATCTTTATAATTTTGTATATTGTTTTTAACCTTAAAGAGGCTGGAGGGTGGCAGCCATTTTCAGACTATTTCGATTTCCTTTAAAAGAAGAGCTTCATATAAAGATATACAAAAATGATCAAATTTTAAAAGTAAAATGGATGAATTTTTTCTTTGCCAAATGATAGTTGACAGCTTAAGATACCGTAGCTAAAAAAATAAGTTAAATCTGGTGGTTAATTTGTAATTAATTTGTTGACCCCCCAGCCTCCTTAAATTACATTATTATTGGAAAAAAAAGAAACTATCATGCTTTCTACGAAAAAGTCCTTTAAACAATGGTTGTCATGGTAACATCATGTCACTCATTATTATATTTGACTACCTTTATATAAAAAACTAAATATCTTAGTACTTGGAAAATTATATCATTGTAACTTGAAAATTAAAACTTTTTATTTAAGTTTAAAGATTGTATGTGCAAATTGTATCATTTGAAAAACAGTTCAGGACAGACGGTGCTTGCTCATAAAAACAATGCAGCAGAGTAAGGGTTAATGATATTAAAAGAAAACCCGATAACTTAACATTTTATGTTACAGTAAATACGCGAATTCTGGAATTTTTTTTATATTTCAAAAACCGTTCAGTAAACACAGTTGTCCTGTATAAATTTCAAATTTTGGACAAAACTCAAGACATGAAAAGAAAACACAGTACGCGATACAGTTTTATATTTTTTTTTCAGCTGCATGCTTGGACACGTTTACAATTTTGGGTCCCGGAATAGGTGGGAATGATAACTACTGGTCGGGTACCAAAACATTAAAGGAATGTCAGACACTCTGCAATGGTGACGTCTCTTGTCTGGGGTTCGAGTACAAAGCTTCGGACTCGTCTTGCCAGTTGTCTAGCACTAACATTTCGGAGTCCAATGGAGATGGGGATTCATATTTCCATAGAAAAAACTGTAAGAACAAAAAATTAATACATACATAGATTTATAACGTTCGGCGTTGAAAAATGATCTTGCAAAAAAGATTGTTGCAGTATAGTCAATTGTAGTGGTGTATGAGTAAAATTATTAATTAAAAAAAGTTTGAAATCTACTCCCTCTCCCCCTCGATGTTTGGAGAGAAAAAAATTTTGTCAAGTTGTTTTCATTTCTTTCAGCCCCCCCCCCCTTCAAAATTGATGCTACGACCCTGAACAACATATTTTCTTCTTTTCTCATGTCAATAGTGGCTTTAACACCTTTGGCCTTATTAATGATAGTGCCAAGTTTAGTGCCAAATTATGTTTTTGAGACTTATGTTGCAATATGAGTATCAAAAGCCTTTTTTTATGTTATAATTAGTCAATATCTGTATTAAGCCTTCAAAACATTTAATCATTGTATATTTAATTAGAATTAATCATAATTACAATTCAAAATACATGTACCTTAATATTCTTTGCACTACCAGGTTGTTCGGATTTATATACATCCATCGGAAATAAACGAAGAACTTCGGTATATTCCATCTGGGAAAGTTCCCCACTTACTATGAAACAGTGTGAAGATCAGTGCAGTGTGAATGCTCAATGTTTGGGATTTTATTACAATACTGGAGACAATACATGCGGATTATCGTCCTCGGCTTCGGCTTCTTATGATCATCATTGTTCATCCTGTCATTTTTACATGAGGCAATGTCCAGGGGGTAAGGATTCAATTTTACCTAAGTACTGAAAAAAATGATACAAAATATTTATGACTATCATTAATGTTTATTGTTATCTTATTAAAATGGTTTCTAGATAAGAAATTGGTTTTAAAGAAATACATTTAAAAAACATGTATCATTTGCTATTGATGATTAACTGTTAATGAAATTCAAAGAGGATACAATTTTTTAAAAACCTGCTTCAGTGTGTACAAATATGTGTAACGAATCATTAGTATTATTATTTGCAGTTAAAAATATCATGTGCATTCAAATCTTAAAAAAAAAAACATTTTCTCATAGGTTGCTTTAATACATATACATCACATGGGCCAAACAGGAAGGGTGAGGCTGTCCTTTTAGAAGAAACCTCTAAAACGATAGAAGAATGTGAAAGTTTGTGCAACTCTAATGAAATATGCCAAGGATTCCATTACGAAACCGATGATGGTTTTTGTCAATTAACACTCTCAAATATTGCTGTTATCGTCGGAATTTTTTCAAGCTACTGCGAAGACTGTTTCTTTTATCAGAGACATTGCCCAAAAGGTAAGTCAACGACTTTTTGGGATATTTAAGTTTTCTATTGTAAAGGTTAAACATTATAAGAGTGAATACATGTATTCAAATTACGTTTAGAAAATTATGTTTACGTTAATTCATCCGATCTATATATATTAGGACCGAATTATCTACCATAAAATATAAATTTTGTACACGTATAAAATACTCATATCATTTCAAAGCTTTTTAGAGAAGGAAAGAATTTACTATCAGATTTTTTTTTTCAAAAACGTTATTACCTAAACAGTAATTAATCTTTGAAGAATGCATCGAAGTCTATGGAAACAAGTACATGTACATTTTTGAAAATAAAAACCAAATACATAGAGTATCAACAAATGCTGTGGTGGAAAGAAGTATTTAATCATTAGGAAGAACAAAACGATTGAAAACTATTTCCTTAACAATCCTGAAAATCTTTTATAGATAAAGAGTTAAAGTTCGAAATTCTTATGTGGCATAAATAGTATTTCTTGAAAAGATGAATAGAAATTAAATATCTTGTTACACGTACTACTTAAAACCTTTTAAATGGATTGGAAACCAAGTTTACACAATTTGGGAACTAATAAGGTTTGTTTCGATATAAGATTGATATAAGTATGAAACATTTTTTTTATGTTCATGATGGTATACTGTAAATTTATTTAGTCACCTGGGTCACACTACCTTATTGTGCTTCCACATTATTTTCATCTTTCCCGATCCAGTGGTTCTTGAGATTTTTAGAACACGCCACCAATTTTTCATTATTTTTTAACTATCTCTGCTTGAAAGAGCACAAGGCCCTTCATTTGAACCTACTTCATCCACGGATGCTTTGTGGTAAGTTTGGATGAAATTGGCCAGTGATTCTGAAAAAGAAGTCGAAAATGTGAAAAGTTAACAAACGGACAGACAGACAGACAACAGATAAATTGTGATCAGAAAAGTTCACTTAAGATTTCAGCTCACTTGATCGAGCCAAGAAGCATTGAGTCCTCTTCCAAAATTGTGAAATTCATGGCCCCAGGGTCAGCGGCCCTAGTAATAGGACGGGGCTGTATAGAATACATTGTGAAAATGCATTATTATACACCCCGCTTGAAAAGCGGGAGGGTATAATTATAGTAATCGGTATAACCGTCTGTACGTCTTTCCGTCTGTTACGCTTTGGGGTACCCATCTCTTATCCGCAACTCCTCTCATACCACAGAATGAAATTCAATGAAACTTTCACAAAATCTTTATTACATGGGGGGAGGGGGTATCATTTAGTGAGATCATTGCTCACAGTACCTCAAGTTTCTTTCAAAATCTTCTTCTCTTTTCCTGAGTATTAAACAAGCAAACCTTATGTAAAGTTATGATGAAAAAGGATGTCTCTTCCAAAATTGTAATTATCAGCGCCCCTGGGTCAGGGATCTGGTGTAAAGGTGGGGCTCCATTTATTAGACGGTGGAATGTATTAATTCTTTCAACTCCCGGCATAAACAAACTAACTACATAATTATTATGAGGAAGGGTGCCTTTTCCAAAATTATGAATTTCATTACCTCGGGGTCAGAGGTTATGGTATTAGGATAGGGCGCTATTGATTATTATATAGTGAAAATGCATTTTCTCTTTAAAAATCTTTTTCTTTGCTCCTTGTTATTAAACAAACAAATGACATACATACATGTAGTTATAAAAAACAAAAATTATTTTTCAAAATTGTTTATTTCATGGCCTCAGGGTCAGGGGTTCCGATGTAAGGGCGGTGTTCCTTTGATAATATATATTGAAAATTCATGAATTCTTTGAAAATCTTCCCTGCTTCTAGGTATTGAACACAAAATGTAAATGCCCCTGGCTCAGCTAAACTGGTGTGAGGGTGGGGCTCCTTTGATTTTATAATGAAAGTGCATTAATTCTTTGAACTGGGTATTATGCCGATAATTATCAAAGTACATAGTTAAGATGCGCAACGGCGATTCTAGAATAGTTACTGCTTTGAAATCTGCTCCTTGGTTTTAATCAAAGAATTATTGGGAGCAAATCAACAAGGTTGCTAAATTGTGGAATGTGTTGTCCCAGGGTCAGGGGTTCATGTGGGTGAAGCACAACTTATTATATAGTGAAAAGTGTAATTTTTCACTGTTTCTTTGCTCTGCCTCTGAATATAATTGTAATCAAATATTTAAACTAAGCATACAAAGTGTGTTCATGTAGTTATGAACAATGGTGCCTCTTTAAAAATTGTGACTCATGGCCTCTGGTTTAAAACACGAATTGGAAGTTGTTACATGATACTATGGTAACCTATAAGGTTCATGGGCCTCTTGTTTTATTGTATTTAATATTTCAGTGGAAATCCGAGTTTTCTAGTTGAGTATTAGTATAGCACTTTTTGAATGTGCTTAAAAAATTACTTTTGCAATCTTCATAATTTAGCAGAAACTGCATCTGCGAAAGGCTCTTTCTAGAATGCATCGCAAAATATTATACGTTTTCAGTAGTCAATTTTAATGGTCTAGGACTCGACAAAACCTCGTTTTGGACCGTAAATCTCCTGTTCCTATCAGTGGAATTTCACTGTTTTTAATAATCTGAAAGCAAGGCTAAGGTGACTATATGTTCCAACATTACATTAAAAGAGTAAAAATTAAATGAGGAATGTCCACCTTTTATGATTGGTATTAACACCTTAATTATTTCTTTTTAGGATGTTTAGATACATATACTGTTGATCAATACAGAACGGGCAATGCTGTTTATATGGAAAATACCTTGACGGTAGGGGAATGTGAAGCTGAATGTACTAAAGATAGTTTCTGTGAAGGATTTGCATACAGGACCGATAATTCCCGCTGTCAGCTATCTACCTCCAACAGCGGTACTCCCAGCTTTTGTAGCTCTTGCTATTTCCATAAAAGACAATGTTCAACAGGAGGTAAGTTATTTTTAAAAAATCTAAAAAGAAACTAAGACCGCAATAAAACATTTCAAACGATGGCATACTGCAGCCCAGTTTTTTTATGATGAGCATGAATCATTTATAGTTGAGGAGACCATATGTACCGGAAACAGAAAATTCAAACCCTCTTAAGATAGAAATAAACTTCTGTCAATTTATTTTATATCGTAGAATTTTGGTCGTTTATCTTATTTAAAAAATATAAAAAGGGCAGCAGTTTCAGAAGGAGACCATATGTACCGGAAACAAAATTCAAGCCCTCTTAAGATAGAAATAAACTTCTGTCTCTGAATTTCACGCTAAATCAAAGATAAATATTTCAGTTTTTATTTTCTTTTGGATCAATTATTTCGATAAACGAAATCGATTCCTTATATTTAAATATTAATTTCTTTCAAAAGGAGGTTCGGGAGGCGTAGTAACAGTTGCAGGAGGCGTAGTAACAACTGCAGTAGGCGTAGTAACAACTGAAGGAGGCGTAGTAACAACTGAAGGAGGCGTAGTAACAACTGGAGGAACATCATCTACTGAAATGGTCACCAAAATAGAAACTACAGAAACACCATCATCTGAAATAATAACGAGTACTCAATCAACGATAGAAAAGACAACAAATAATTGGTTAACAACTCCTATAGAAGTAATTTCAACCAGTAATTCCATTCAGTGCAGCTGTGTTTGCATTGAATTAAACATTACACTTGAAGAGTCCATTGAACGTAGAAAAAAGGAACTGGAAATAAATGTAGATGAATTATCCTCAACAAAAAGAAAGTTAGTCAGCGTAGATGATCCTCGACCCTCGGCCAAAACGATAGGTTACGTGGGATTGGCGTTTTGTGTCTTACTAGGAGCATTGATCGTTATACCAGATTTTTTCTCAGTTGTATTTTTCATTTTTCGAAGAATTAAAAACAGGAGCTATTAATTACTTTTATTTATAAAATTCAAGCCAATGTATGAAAAAATTAGCTTTTCTGATCACCAAATAACCTTCGTCTCTCCGTCTATAAACATTTTCAAATTTTCAAGAACTACTGGGTCAATTTTAATCAGACTTGGTACAAAGCATTCCTAGGTAAAGGGGATATTGAATTGTATAAAGGGGATACTGAATTGTAAAATTGAAGAACCAAGTCCTCTTCGAAGGGGAATAATCAAGAAAAGACAAGAGGCACATGGGCCTTATAGGTCACCTGAGCATAAGTAACAGTTTTCCAATGATTGATTGATTGTATATTGTTTAACGTCCCTCTCGAGAATATTTCACTCATATGGTGACGTCACCGTATGCCGGTGAAGGGCTTCAAATTTTGACCTTTACTCGGCACTCAGGGCCATTGAGCAGAGGGGGTCTTTATCGTGCCAACACCTGCCGCTGACACGGGGCCTCGGTTTTTAAGGTCTCATCAGAAGGACCCGCAACTTTCACTTGAAAGTGCCGAGCGCATGGCGAAGGAACAGTTGCTACCCATTTGTTTAATCGACATAGGTCAGTTGAGGCCGAGATTCGAACTCACGACCTCCCGATCACGGTGCGAGCGCTCTACCAACTGAGCTACCGTGAACAGTCCCAATAATTGAATTCGGTTATGTTTTAAATTAGTCGCATGGCATTCACAATTTTGAAAGAGGCATCATTGCTTATCATAACCAGTGATTTTTTGGGGGCCGATTTGGGGCCGAAATTCGGCCCAGTCCCAATTGAAAATGTGCCTTTATTTTCCCAAAATGTAGTAAAAGTTTTCCCAAAGAAAAAACTTACAAAATATGTGATCCAAGTTTATCTTTTAAAAAGATAGGTGAGCTAGCGCCGTAGCAATTTTTAAACACAGAAAGGAAGATCCGTGATCAAGTGATTTATTTTGCTGAATTCTTTAATTTTTATCGAGGCTGGAGAGTGATAAAGTTATTATTGTTTTTTGAAGCGTATTTTATAGACACATAGGTAAAGAAACAAGGGGGTGAGTGACCTTTACTGGAGAGGGGGGGGGGTCTATATAATATGAAGAAGATGCCGATTGAGACATTGCATGTATGAGCTGATTTAAAGAAGAGAATTTCTTGGCAATTTAGAAAAAAAAATACATGGGAGTTGAAAGGAATATAGAAAATAACTCAAAGTGTATGTTGTGTAAAGAGTCCAGAGAGTTTGGAAGGCATGTGAAGTAGCTTGGTCCTTTGGGTCATCTCTGTCAAGATATGTTAGGTTAAAAGCCATACACATCCAAATTTTTTAAACACAAATAGTAGATTTATTCGTTATTTTTAGTGTAAATTCTTGCTTCTGTTTCTGGAATTTTTAAGATTGGCTGAATTGACCAATCAGAAATTAAAACCTATCTTTGGTTGTGCTTAGATGTTAAAAAAAAAACTCCCTTGTCATTGTTTAGAACAATCAGATGATGACTCGGGCTTTTCCGTCAGCAAAAAAATCCAGAATTTAAAATATTATAAATATGAAGTTATCTTTAAAGTGTAAGCTACACAATAAATAAACAGTTATTTCATGCTACATGATACAACGAAATTGTTATCGTACGGTCTATCGTAGTTTTCACAGTTTTCCTTAGTCTCGTTCAACCAGACCCTCGGCTGTCTCCGTAAATCTCCGACCACCCAGAGGCAATCGAAACTTCTCGGGCCTTTCCGACTATGGCAGAAAAACGACCTCGAATGTATATGGTAGACGCCATGACAACCCTCCCTTTTCACGATCTTTGAAATAAATGCATGGAGGCCTATATCTGTGGAATATGGAGTTTAACTTTATTCAATGTAATGATATTACCTAAAATATACTATAGAGGGGACTTCTAACTCCGTCTATCCTATATTTGAATAAACAGGAAATGTATAAATTTTTAACATCCGGTAATGTTAATACATTCGAGGTTGTTTTTCCGACCTCTGACGGAAAGACCTGAGATGATGCGATTGCACCCAGAGGATGCTTGTCGGAGTTTACGGAGACAGCCGAGAGTCTGGTTGAGTGAGACTTAGTTTTCCCAGAATGCACGGCCATGGCGGCCGAGCATGCGTATTCAAGGAATTCGGACTAACGTAGTTGCTAGCGCTCGAGAGCGCTAGCAAAAATTCAGTTTGTTTATTGCATGTTTTTCAGTGAAGTTCAATGAGGTTTTGTTGTTCAGCCATGTTGGATTTTCTTTATAATTAGATAATTCATACCACTATTGTTCTTAATGCAAGTAAATAGATAATTCATACCAAGAATAGTCTTGATGTTTGTTAAAGTAATACAAAGACAAAAACAAAGATTTTTGACAATGTTTTTTAAAGTCAATGGGTTTTTGGGAGATTCCCAATTTAGCCCAATAGACGCTGAAATTCCCAATTCTAAGGGCCCCAGCCCCCAGTCCCAAAGTACTGAAAAAAAACACTGATAACTATACACTTAGCAATTGCTTAGTCTGGTAACTGAATACTCATAGGTAGGGTAGGGGGGGGGGGACAAAAATACATTTCAACTTATCAGAAATATTCAGTAATAATCAATAGTGTCCCTACTAAATATGAAGTCTGATCATGGGTCCACACATTAATTTTCACAATTTTGGAAAAGGCACCCTTGCTTATCAAAAGTGTTTGATTAATACCAAGGAGCAAATTTCAAACATCATTTTCAGTATATAAGTAGAGCCTCCACCCCTCCTCTATGGTACCCCTGACCCAAGGGCCTTGAAATTCACAATTCTGGACGAAAGGTCCTTGCTGATCATAGCTGTATAGGTAGTTTATCTGCCTGATACCCAGGAACAGAGAAGATTTTCAAAGTATTAATGTATTTTCACTATATAATCAATAGAGCCCCGCCGTCCTAATACCGGAATCCCTGATCCTGGGGCCATAAAATTCACAAGATGCATTCTTGCTCATCATAACTACGTATAAGTACTTGGTTAGTTTATATAATATCCAGGAGCATAGAAGATTTTCAAAGAATTTAATGTATTTTCAATATATAATTAATAAAGCCCCGCCCTTACACCAGAACCCCCGACCCTGGGGCGATAAAATTCAAAATTTTTGAAGAGGCATTCTTGCTTAATATCATTACTATGTATTTAGTTAGTTTGTTTAATACCCAAGAGCAAAGAAGTGGATTTTCAAAGAAATAATGCATTTTAATATATCATCTATATAGCCCCGCCCTAGCACTAGAACCCCTGACACTGGTGCCTTGAATTTCACAATTTTGGTAGAAGACTCAATGCTTATTACAACCATGCCAACAATTTTATAGCTGCAGAACTGTAGCGTATGGTTTTTCTATATTTTATCTTTAAATTAAACATAACGCTGCAGATCCCGTAATGCAAAACATGTGTAGTTTAAGGGGCACTGTTTGAGAGAATATCTCCCTTTCCAAGTAGGGTAAATCATCAACCTTTCACCCCCTAAATTCCAGACACATTCTTAAACCAATTTGTATATTTTATCCTCCTCTCGACCCTTTTTAGTCGCCTCTACAGGCGATAAACTGGCTTGATTTGAATTCTCTGGAGGATTGCAGAAAATTCTAACTCAAACGAGTTTCTCGCTTGTATTGACGACTATAAAGGGTTGGGAGGTGTATATAATTTACAGATTTCAAAATATGTCTAGCATTATGGAGGGAAAGGTAGATGATTTACCAATGTTGGAAATTGGAGAAATTTTCCCAAACTGTGCGCAAAAAATTCTTGCGCCGTTAATTGCACATTTTTTGCATTACGGATCTGTAGCGTTATGGTCAAAGACAAATATATAAAACCATAACGCTACAGTTCTGCAGCTAACAATTTGACTGCTTGATGTCCATGAGTAAAAAAGATTTTTAAAGATTGCACTAATTTTAGTGGTTTGGGTCCCACCCTTAAGGCCCCAGGGGGTGGGGGGGCAGGGACCATGAAAGTCACAATTTTTGTTCTCCTTCACCTATAAATGCTTTATGGCAAAATTGGTTGAAATTTATTGGGCGGTTGCAGAGAAGAAGCTGAAAATGTTCAAATGTTAACACACGACGCACACCGCCAAATGAAAACGGATAGCAATAGGTCACCTGAATTTGACAAGAGGTCCACAGGTCTGATAGGTCACCTGAGTATCATGTAACAATTTTCCAACAATTGAATTCGTTCGTGTTTTAAATCAAAGGCCATGAAATAAAGACACATTATTGCTTATCATAACTATACACTTAGCTTGCTTACTTTGGTTACTTGTATAATACCCAGAGGTAAATAAGAGTAACAAAGAGAAAATTCATTTTTACCTTATAACCAGTTGTGCACCCCACCCCACAGGAACCACTGACCCTGGGGGCACATATTTCAAAATTCTGGAAATTTTATCATAAATTTTATATCATCATAAATGGTTGATTAATGCCAAAAAGCAGATATATCAAAGCATTAATTTATTTTCAGACTATATAACCTCCACCCCATGTGCCCTGACCCAGGGGCCCTTAAATTAATCGTTTTGGAAGAGGCACCTTTCCTCATCATTAATATGTACTTAGAACATTGGCATAATATCCATGAGCAAAGGAAAAGGTTTTCGAAGAACTGATGAATTTTCACTATATAGAGCCCTGCCCTAACACCAAAAACTCCTGACCCCGCGGCTCTGAAATTCATGAATTTAGAAGAGGCATTCTTCCGCATCATAACTATATACGCAGTTCATTGGTTTATACTCAGGAGCAGAGAAGAAAAATTTTTAAAAGAATTAATGTAAATGTATTTTCACTATATGATCAATAGAGCCCCTACCTAAACCACAGCCCCTGACCCAGAGGCCATGAAATTAACAATTTTGGAAGAGGCACTCTTATTCAACATAACTAAATGTACTTGTTTAGTTTATTTAATACTCAGGAACAGAGAAGAAGATGTTTAAAGAATCGATATATTTTCACTATAT